AGAGTTGGTTCATTTCTAACTTCTAATCCGAGTACGTGTTAATTCGACATCTATCACTGATAAGAAATACCCAAGTCCTTCCCCATTTAAGAACCTTTGTGATTGGGGGCACCAAGAATAAATTCTAGAGTTAATTTTGCATTAACTCCAAAGGGTCAGAGAGAACTTTCCCTGCTAATTCAACATGGGGCAGCATAATCAATTAAGGACTAACATAGGCTTGTCATCTTCTCCCGATTCCACATTAGCACCCCTAGTTGGGGGTTGTAGCCAGCAACGCTTGAGGAGCATTTGCCCATTTTTCATTTCTTATTTAAAAAAGTTGGTAGAATTACCAACTATGTAAAGTAAAAAATACACAAAGGGAAAAAATGTGCATTTTATTGTGGCAATAAAAAGTGCTTTGTTATATACCCAAAAACTTCAGAGAGTGAAACGAAAAAAGCGCCTTTATAACTTTATTTGTCCAAACTATTTTTTGTTTCCCCCAAATAATGTTTTAAAAAAACCTTTTACTATGTATGAAATATTGCTCTACCCTTTTTATATTACTTTTGTCCCTAACTTACTTTTTACCCCCCCATAGTAAAATCGAAAAGGTACCCCCTGTATTGCACCCCACTTGAGCCTTTATTACCCTCTTGTCCTGTATTGTTTGTAAAGGCTTGTAAAGCCCCGGAAGCGATACGTTGCCCCCAATAAAATGTACATTAGTTGCAAGTTTTCCTTTTTTTTTACATTTTTTTTTTTTAGTTGTGGTATAGGGTTTTTTTTAAAGGGGGTTACCCCAAGTATTTGTAGGTTTTAAAGTGCTAATGATTTCCCCCGCAGATAGATGGGTGGGGGGGTCATTTGGTGTTAATATCTTTGTTTTAGAGGAGGTATTATGAGGCCCAGGGGATTTCAAATTGCTTAAACTTCATTAAGAATGGTGCTCATCTTCTTATGCCCTATTGTATGTATCATGATGTCATCAGCATAGCTTATAGCTAAATGTTTAGGTGAGGCAGGCAGAGCATTTAGGAGACCATTAATCAGAATATTAAATAGCATGGGACTAAGAACTCCTCCCTGCGGTGTACCTAAAGACATTTCTTTAGTCTCACTTCTAAAGCCTTGATAAAGGACAGAGGATACTCTATTTGACAGGTATCCTATTATCCAGCAGAGTAAGCTACCACTAGTATTCATTTTGGCTAGTTTATGTAGTATAATGGTTCTGTTCGCAATATTAAATGCAGATTTTAGATCAAGAAAGTGGTAAAACTAGTAGAGGTGTGTGCAGTGAGAAAGGTGGAAATACAGTTCTGCATACTTTTACCTTTCATGAACCCATAGAGGTAGGGGGAAAGTTGGTGTCTGATTCTGTAGTACAGTCTGTTAAGTATCATTCTTTCAAAGGTTTTACAAAGACAACTAGTTAAGGAGATTGGTCTAAATGTATCAGGCTGTTGGGGCTTAAGGATAGGCACAATGAGACTATTGGTCCAGGAAGTAGGAAGAACGCCTCAATGTAACTGAGATTATACAGTGCCAACAAAGGATTATCAGGCACGTGCCTTAGAGTTCTGAGAATGTCATAGGTTATACCATCCTCTCCAGGAGCAGTTGATCGACCTTTAGTTAATGCATTATCTAATTCATACTCGGTGAAGAGGCAATCACTCTCATCAATATTTTGGCTCATAAAATTAATCAGTTTCAACATTTCTTCGGAAGTACTCTCTAAATTTTTTCTAATATGAGATGGAAGGTTTTCATGCCTGGATGTTTTGGACCAGTCATTTATGAGGTCATTTGCTTTTTCAAGAGGAAAGGGATGAGCAACATTGCCAGTCTTTTTCCTGGTTATTTTATTTATACCTTTCCAAGCCAAACTTAGAGGTGGACCTATTTAATCCACTAACAAATTGTTCCCATTCCTGTTGCCTAAGTTCTTGCTTTCTATTCCTTGCATTTGTTAGTGCAGCTTGGAACGTTCTGAGCAGGTCTGAGTTTCTACATTCATGGTATGCTTTACCAATCCTCCTAGCTGCATGTGTTAGATTGCGTAACTCTGGATCATTATAGTATTTACATTGGTTTTTATTGTTATTTATAGTGGAAGGTCTATGTTTCCTTTTCCTGCCCACTTGATCTGTGAGGACAGTCTCAATAGTGGTAACTAAATCATCATTAAATTTTTGTGTGCCAGTGGGCTGGTAATTCTTATACCATTGATCCAAGTGGTTAATAAAGTTATCTCGTGTTATTGGTTGAGAATAAGGTTCCTCCTTCTGAATTTAGCTTCTTGATTGCTGGAGATGTGATCAAGATTGACAGTTGTTAGTCTTGGGAAGTGATCAGATAGAAGATCATCAACTATGACAGAGTCATGCATTGTATATTATGTATTAAATCCAAGGCACAGATCTAGTGTGCCACCTTATATGTGAGTAGACTCAGTAGTGCCCACAATTCGAACATTATCATGCTCATTTAGCAATTTCACTAGTTTAGT